TATATATAGTGAGAGGAAAAGTACAGAATAATAAACTAACAAAAACAAATCTTACCATTCCAGCTCTGTAGACCATATGTTCTTGCATTAGTCAGCTGAGAGCTAACCTTATTTGTGATAGGGAGGACCATATATGGGAACCATTAGGAACTTAGTATAGATGTCATTCTGGCGAGGTAGTGCACAAAGTAATGTATCCCATTACTGGAATTGCACACTAACATGCTTCTTTTTGGTCCTCTGTCTTTCCCAGAGTTCTAGACATGAAGACCTCCCCTTAAGACAGATGAAGTTTCACACATACACATCGGATTCCTTTTTAATTAATTTATCATAGAAAGCCATTCCTGGGGACACAATTGCCACTCACCCTTAGCTGGTTTATTTAGGAGTGGGCAAAAGGGGGGGAATGAAACTGTTTCATGCTGTAAACCAGTGGTTTTCAACCTTTTTTCATTTGCAGACCTTTAAAAATTTTCAAATGGAGTTACGGAACCCTTTGGAAATCTTAGACAGAGTCTATGGAACCCTAGGGTCTGCGGACCACAGGTTGAAAACCACTGCTGTAGACCATCATTTGTCCAAAGCTGCACGTTTCCCCTTCTCTGTGTAAATGTAGTTTCAGCCAGCAGAGGGTAGCCTTCCAATGAGGAGAATAAGAAGATGAGTGTGTTGGAACTGTACATGTGCCCAGAAAACACGTTTCAAAAGAATGAATCCCATCTGGGCCTACTCTGAACTTTTTTAAAGTGGGCTTTACAGCAATTAATGCATTTGTGTAAAGCTTCCTGTAACTTTTCCCTGTCTTTAGTGCTGCCTGATCCCATTGTGAGTTTATTGGATGTAAAGGCCGTTTCATCAGCTAGTATCTCAGTTCTTATCAAAACATAAATAAGACACTAGAGAGAAAAAAATCAAAAGCTTCTGTGTCAGATTAGTAGCCAAAACTGATTACAGAGTGGGACATTTGTTTCAATCTGTGTAATGTATCCAGATAATAAATTACTATTGTTTCACTGTTAAAACCTAAGAAACTCAGGTTGATATAGATCTAAACAAGCCTATTCTGATGTACAGTAAGTAGAACAAATTTTGTACAATTTATCATGGAATGCAAACCACTGCATGTCATTTCTTTCCATGTGGGGGAATCATCTTAAAAAGTTGTCTGAGGGAAACATGAGTCTATTTTTTAAAGCCAGTGGATGTTCCCTAATTCTGAAACCAAAATTAGGCACCATGCCAAATTTATCCCAAGGGAGCCTAGTATTTACCCCTTCATTTCTAGTTTTAAAGAAAATAAATAGTAGGCAGGACATTTCTGTGCCATATTACCCTTGAACTAGATTCAAATAATGATTATTTTGCAAGTCTTGCTCAAAGATATCAGAAAACAAGATAAAATGGAAAAGAAGTGAAGCACGTTTTGACTGATTATTGTAACATATTTTTAGTTCACTGGTGAGAATACTGTTCTGTAATGTACAACTGTTTATACTGTAGAAACTATTATTCTGTTTTTATTGAATTCTGAGAGAGACAATGGAGGTGATGTAATATCTTTTACTGGACCAACTTCTGTTGGTGGAAGGGACAAGCTTTCAAGCTCTTCCTCAGGTCTGGAGAAGGTAACCAGAGTGTCCAATAAAAGACATTACCACACCCACTCTCATACCCTGGGACCAACACGGCTACAATAACACTTTAGTGAATTATGTCAGAAGTGCTGCATACTCTTTTACTCAATACAAAATATTGCTCTGCTATGCAGGATAGGAACCTCCAGAAAGTGTTTTGTACATGATCAAGTGTGATAATGGCATTACAATTGCTTTGGGAATGGAAACACTGACTGCTACTCTGGGGCTCCTCATGCTACTAGGACACTTGCAGACACATTTTCCTGTCTGCAATAGACAGGCATGCCTTAAGAAAATGCTGGGGAAAGAGAACTGCCTTGTTCGGAGTATACATGAATCATCTTCTAATAAGCAAGTACATTTTTGGAAGAGTTCCGCATTCAGGGGTGGTACTCGTAATAGACTGTAAAATGAAAATAAATCCTGGTACGTACAGTGTGAAATCCTATGACCAGACTAGTCTCCATTACATTTTGAAATGAAGAAAGTTTTTCCATAGGGCTGTGACAAAAAAACCAATCAAAACCTACCTCAATCCAAATGACAGAAATGAACCAAATTACTGTTACCACTGTGCCAAAATACCTCAGCTGCGTTTCTTAGTCATGAAACTTGTTAAAACACAGAACTAACCGAGCACCAGTTTAAGAGCTACCAAAGCCCCCAGTGCAATTAAAACATAACACATATGCATTAGTCTGTCAGTGACACTGAACAGTGAGGCCAGTGGCTGAGTAAAGTTTCACTCACTCCGTCCCTTCTCCACTAGTTTGAAGATTATAAGAAGAAAATTGCTGGAAAACCTGAAACAGATTTCGATACTAGCAAGCCAGAGATATCTGCCAACATATACAGTAGGCACAGCAGGCATTTTGGCACATGTACTAGAGTGACACAAAAAAAGAAATAGAACCATATTTATATTTTTACCAATTAGTTCAATTTCTTTAGAAGATTTTTCTGTCTGCCTCCCCACTCACCCACCCCCATCCATTTTTTCCCCTTGCTATAAAATAGTTTTGGTTTTCATTACACAGGATCACAGATTATGGACCATTCTCTAAACTAGCAAATTGCAAGTGATGATACACATGGTCACTGATATCAACCAACCTGAGCAATACACACTGTAATGTAGTGTGACAGGCATTATTGCAGTTGCCAAAACACTGTTCCCTCTGACAGTGGTTCTCAACCAGGGGTACACAGAGGTATTCTAGGGGGTGCATCGGCTCATCTAAGATATTTGCTTAGTTTTACAACAGGCTACATAAAAAGCACTAGCCACATCAGTACAAAATAAAAGTTCATACAATGACTTGTTTATTCTGCTCTATATACTATACAGTGAAATGAGAGTACATTATTTATATTCCAGTTGATTTATTTTATAATTATATGGTAAAAATAAGAAAGGAAGCAATTTTTCAGTAGTAGTGTGCTGTGACACTTTTGTATGTTTATGTCTGATTTTGTAAGCAAATAGTTTTAAAGTGAGGTGAAACTTGGGGATGCGCAAGACAAATCAGACTCCTGCAAGGGGTACAGTACTCTGGAAAGGTTGAGAGCCATTGCCCTATGGGACATTACAAAGCAGATCTCCCTCAAGTTATCACCCACCCTCAGAACAAGACTGAACGTCCCCAGTTGTAGCAATAGCCTAAAATACAGATAATTTAATATCTTTCTTTAACAAAAATGGATTATCAATAGACCTGCAGCCATTCAGTGCAGAGCTCAGCACCGCAACTCCTTACCTAGGAGAACTTGCTCCAGCTACTGGCTATCGTGAATGTCTCCTGGGTGTCACCCAGTGTGAAATAAAGCAAACATGATTTTTTATCAGCTATTTTCTCATAAGATGCTCTGCCAGTCCCTGTTTGTATTTCGAAATGATGTAATTTGCACAATGTCACTTCTACTAGGCATGTTTTTTCTTCTCTTTAAAAATTAACAACTAATGATGAATGATTATAGCTTGAAAAAGAAGTGTTTGCATCCAACAAATACTGATACTATAGTTTCAGGAGTTAGGTGATTTCAGTTCACAATCAGAATCCATGAAGAAACATTATTCTACTTTTTGTTTGCTAGATATATTTTTGGGGGGAGGGAGGTTGGCCAAGGTGTGTTCACATTCATGTAGATAAGAGTTAAACATTAATTTCCACGCAAAGAAATTGCCTTATGCTTCCTAAAAATGTGTGAACAAAACTGAGGGCAGGCAAAATCAGTGGAGGAAAGACAGCTGTCATGAAATAATTCCCTGGATTCTATTTAATGTACTGGCTAGTTTCTTTCTGATAACTAGTGCCAATGATTTCATAAATAAACTGCACCCGTCTAAAGGTCCCAAGACTATTTCTCAATTAGGAAATGTGATATTGACTTTGGATTCCGCATCTTCTAGCCTGAAATTACTCTTCTATTTTGTCCCTGTCAACTATGTCTGATGATTAGATCTCGGTGAGATTTTGTACTTGTACCTTTCTCAGCACAAAAACTATTTTAACCGAGTAAAGAGATAGTTAGTAATAGTTTTAACACATCTTATCTGGGCAACTTGGTTATCCTCATCCAATACCCTTTGTCCACCCTCGGCTAATACTGATCCATGGATCAGTGATTTGCTGAAGGAATTTGCATTTTTTTTTGGTAGCAGATTGTTTATAGCTTGCAAAAGTTATAGACCCAACGACTCCCCCTTAAAAAAAAAGTCAGCATCCCCCGCCCCAGAAGGAACTGTCCCCTTCTAGCTTTGTGCAGAGCATATGCCAGCCAGGTCGGTTTACACTTGCACTCCTTTCCAAAACCTTAATATCCAGGATCGCTTTACTTACCGCCGCCTCACATGCAAGGCTCAGTCAGGTTTACAGCTACGTGTCCTTCTGAGCAAGATCAGGCAGGTGAAGGGTCTGGTCCCATAACTCCAGGCTGCTCTGATGCCTTCTGATGGAATCTCTCGCTGACTCAGACCTGCCTCCTCCTATCACCCCCTCAGTGAAATGCTCAGGTTCCTACACACACTTCGGGGTTTCCAGTTGCATTTCCCTCGCGATCCCCAATGCACAACTCTCCTGCATTGGCTAGAAAGCTTCCGAGAGGGGGGGAGACTGGAAGAGGCAGCTAAGTCCTCCTTGCAGGTGTCACCCTAGAGCCCTCCGGCTCCTGCTGCTGCTACCAAAACTTTCCTGCGAACAGCGACTGGCGCCTCAGCAGCGCAGGCGCCATGTGACCCAACCCACCCGCACTCCGGATTGCTGGAGCTCGCAGGAGGCTGGGCTGGTGCTGCAGAGCCACTGCCCCTCCCCCCCGCCGGGCCCCCCCCCCCCCCCACCTCCCCGGCACCCCCCCCCCTTCTGTGCGCACTCGCTGCGCCAAGAGCAGCCAGCGGCCGTTCTCCGCCTCCCTGCACCCGCACCGTGGGGAGAATTGCAAAGTTGCAAGGTGCGCTCCCCCCTTCCAAGCGGGCATTTCTCTGGCGAAGATCCTCTGCCCACCCCCCTCGGGGCAGCCCGCAGCTCCTTTCCAGCCGCAGGGAACGGCCAATGCCTAATCGGCTTCGGGTGATTGTCCGGCGCTTGGTTCGCTGTTTGAAAACTGGGTCCCAAAGCTCCCGGTCCTCTGCGCGGGAGGTGCCGCCTACCCCATCCATGGTGGCGTCAATACTGAGCTTGTCACTGCCATATGTGAAGACGCAGGGCTTTGGCTGCCATGGAAAAAGGCAGGGATCCTTCCCTGAGAGCAGGTCTTCACTAGGGGGGGTCGATTTAAGATACGCAAATTCAGCTACGCGAATAGCGTAGCTGAATTCGATGTATCGGAGCCGACTTACCCCGCTGTGAGGACGGCGGCAAAATCAACCTCCGCGGCTCCCCGTCGACGGCGCTTACTCCCACCTCCGCTGGTGGAGTAAGAGCGTCGATTTGGGGATCGATTGTCGCATCCCGATGAGACGCGCTAATTCGATCCCCGAGAGAGCAATTTCTACCCCCCGATTCAGGCGGGTAGTGTAGACCTAGCCTGAGAAATTTACGATCTTAATCAGATGAATAAAATAGATTCATAGATTCAAGGACTGGAAGGGACCTCGAGAGGTCATCGACTCCAGTCCCCTGCCCGCATGGCAGGACCAAATACCGTCTAGACCATCCCTGATAGACATTTATCTAACCTACTCTGAAATATCTCCAGAGATGGAGATTCCACAACCTCCCTAGGCAATTTATTCCAGTGTTTAACCACCCTGACAGTTAGGAACTTTTTCCTAATGTCCAACCTAGACCTCCCTTGCTGCAGTTTAAACCCATTGCTTCTGGTTCTATCCTCAGGGTACGTCTATACCCAGCCGCTAGTTCGGCGGCTGGCAATCGAACTTCTGGGTTCAACTTATCGCGTCTTGTCTGGACGCGATAAGTCGAACCCGGAAGTGCTCGCTGTCGACTGCGGTACTCCAGCTCGGCGAGAGGAGTACCGCGGAGTCGACGGGGGAGCCTGCCTGCCGCGTGTGGACCGAGGTAAGATTGAACTAAGGTACTTCGAACTTCAGCTACGTTATTCACGTAGCTGAAGTTGCGTACCTTAGTTCGATTTGGGGGGTTAGTGTAGACCAAGCCTTAGAGGCTAAGGTGAACAAGTTTTCTCCCTCCTCCTTATGACACCCTTTTAAATACCTGAAAGATATAGATAAAAAATAAAAAATAGATGGGAAACCAGCTGACTCCCTCGAACTAACCCACTCTCGGCTTTTCACACCCGTACTGCAGCACACTGAATTCTGCAGTTATGGTCTAAAGCACAACTTACAATAGTGAGGCTGCCGTGTTCACGGCTGTTAGTGTACAATTGTGATATTATTGCTTAATAAAGGATGTTATTATAAGTGATACTTATAGGCCTTAACTTATCTTGCAGGAGTCAACTGGTCAATTCAAAGTAAAGGCAGGATGGGCAGGTACTCACACTAATAACGGCTGTGGGATCAGACCTTAAGGTATAAGTATGAATTTTATGGGTGAAATTCTGACCCCACTGACGTCAATGGGAGTTTGCTACTGCCTTCAATGGGAACAGGATTTCTCCCTGTGTACAAATTTTACTTATTCAGTTTAATAAAGAAGGTTCTGACTCAGGGGTGGGCAAACTTTTTGGCCTGAGGGTCACATCTGGGTATGGAAATTGTATGATGGGCCATGAATGCTCACGAAATTGGGGGTTGGGATGCAGGAGGGGGCGAGGGCTCCAGCTGGGGGTGCAGACTCTGGGGTGAGGCCAAAATGAGGCGTTCAGGGTGCGGGAGGGAGCTCCGGGTTGGGGTGCAGGGGGTCTGAGGGCTCTGGGTAGGGCTGGGGATGAGGGGTTTGGGGTGAAGGAGGGGGCTCCAGGCTGGGACCGAGGGGTTCGGAGGGCGGGAGGGGGATCGAGGGCTGGGGTAGGGGGTTGGGGTACAGAGGAGGGGTGGGAGGGCTCTGGCTGGGGGATGCGGGCTCTGGGGTGGGGCTAGGGATGAGGGTTTTGGGGGGCAGGAGGGGGCTGCGAATTGGGACCAATGGGTTCAGAGGGCGGGAGGGGGATCAGGGATGGGCAGGCTGTTGGGGCATGGGGGGATGAGGGCTCTGGCTGGGGGTGCGGGCTCAGAGGTGGGGCTGGGGATGAGGGTCTTGGGGTACAAGAGGGGGCTCTGGGCTGGAATCGAGGGGTTCGGAGGGTGGAAGGGGAATCAAGGCTGTGGCGGGGGGTTGGGACATGGGTGTGGCTCAGGGGTGTAGGATCCAGGTGGTGCTTACCGCAAGCAGCTCCTAGAAGCATGTCCCTTCTCCGGCTCCGAGGTGCGGCCAGGCGGCTCTGCGTGCTGCCCCATCCACAGGCCCCACCCCTGCAGCTCCTATTGGTCGGGAACTGCGGACAATGGGAGCTGCGGGGGCGGAGCCTGCAAACAGGGCAGCTCGCAGAGCCACGGGGCCACGCCTCCCTGTACTACGTAGGAACCAGAGGGGGCTCATGCCAGCTGCTTCCTGGGAGCTGTGCGGAGCGGGGCAAGCCCCCAACCCTGCTCCCCGACTGGAGCACCAGAGCAGGGTAAACTCCCAACCCCCCTCCCTGGCGGGAACTGAGGCCCAGATTAAATGGTCTGACGGGCCGGATGTGGTCCGTGGGCCATAGTTTGCTGACCCCTTTTCTGACAGGTGAATGCTTTCCCACACGTTTAACCTCACACACCCAAGTAGTAACATCAGTGGGGCTCATCACCTGAGTTAATTTACTCACATGCATGTTTGCAGGATGAGTTCAAATGCATTTTGTCACACAGCTCTGCAGTGTATCCCAAAGCTATTGCCACATCATGCAAATATATGATTCTAATTATTTGTATGATATATTATGTCTATTTTTATTTTTAATTGCCCATCTTTGTTGAATCTTTATAATGATATCTGGCAGGAAGAGAAAAGAAGAGCCAAGAAAAACAGATACAAACACAGATGCAAAAATCCTGCAGATTTGAGGGGGAAATCCCTGTCGTTTTTGCCAGAATTCCCTGCTGATTTCCATTAGTCCATGCAATAAGTATACATTCTTCAGGAATCAATTTGTGTGCTGACTCGAGCCTTCTCTCTAATCCTAACGTTACAAAGAACTAGTAAAGCTTGAAATGCAGAGAAAACTCTACTAAATAAGCCAAAAATTGCTTTTCAGCGTGGATACTCTTAGGAGCTGAGATGGTGCTGGACCCTCAGTTCAAAGAATATACAGATACTTCACCAATCCCAGATTCTAGGTGCCCTGTCAGCCAATGAGAATGACTTATTTGGATTCACAAAAGGATTTTAAAGTGAAGGTTGGAAAGAGCAAGGGGGACAACACAGTTAGAAATACATATTAATTGTGCATGACGTCACCCAGTTTGGCTTCAGCACGTATCCTTGCTTCCCTAAAATGGCTGATTACAGCATCACATACTGATTTCCAAAGACCTACTCAGCGCCATCAGAAACCCAAGTTAAAGTACTGGCAGGCACTAAAAAGTAAACAGGGAGACGGAGTTGGTACTAAGTCAGCCACTACTAGCTCAGAGGGAAATTAGCATTGCACATTGTGGAATGGTTAGCAAACCCCAGAAATATTACTAGTCAGTTCACCTTTAGACAAGGGTTAACAAGTAGAACCAGGATATGGTCCTCCAGAGTGATACTGATGATAAATTAATCACCATCCCTTCTTGGGGAGAGTTCAACGGGGCTTCAAATCTACTCTGGGCCTTGTGGCTATAAAGCTCAAACTCCTATTGCCCTGAAACATATGCTCCCTAATTAAAGATATGAAGTCTCACTGCTGTAGGGTTCTTGGCGACAGACTCAGTGAGGCAGGGGAAAAAAAACTTTTGCTATTCTGCATGGATGGAGAAGGATATTCAGCTGCCTTGGGAGGAGGCAAAATCTTGTGACAGTGGATCATGTGGCACCAGATGCTGCAACAATTTTCTGATAAGGTTCTTGAGTTCCACTGAACAGCCAGCAGGTGCATTGTTCCCAGTCACCACTCACTCAGCAAGCCTCCCTCTTCTGGGGACCATATCTCACTATGGGCTTCTCTAAGTGTAGGAGCTCAGCACACAAAATCAGGCCCTTAGGTCGCTCTTCCTCTTTTGATGAAGCACAAACTTAGATAGACAAGATGGATGAGGTAATATCTTTTATTGGACCATCTTCTGTTGGTGAGAGAAACATGCTTTTGAGCTTACACAGAGCTCTTCTTCAGGTCTGGGAAACTAAGGGCAAATCTACACTACAAAATTAAGTTGGCCTAAGTTACATCCATGTACAGCCACTGCAGTAACTAAATTGCTTTTGCATGTCCACCCTATGCTCCTTGTGTCAGCGGTGCATGTCCTCACCAGGAGTGCTTCCACTGATTTGACTGTCAGTGTGGGGCACTGTGGGATGGCTTCTGAAGGGCAGCAACAGTCGATGTAAGCAACACAGTGCCTATACTGACACTGCGTTGACCTAACTACATCAACCTAAGCACTACGCCTCTCATGGAGGTGAAGTTATTAAATCAGTGTAGTGCGCAAGTTATATCGGTGGGAGCTACATTTTGGGGAGACGCTTACAGAGTTAGGTCGACCTAACTCTGTAGTGTAGACCGGGACTCACTCAGAGTGTCACTGCTAAATACAAGATTGAACAGATTGTTTAGCATAAGTAGTTAGCACATATCCTAAGGGACCATTCAAGGTGAAGTGACCTGTTAATACCCCATAGTCATAGGACAAAACAAGGATGTTAGTGAGTTACACATTGTTGTAATAAGCCATAAATCCAGTGTCTCTGTTCAGTCCATGATTTTTAGTATCTAGCAAAGTTACAAATTTAAGCTCTCAAGCTTGTCTTTTGAAAGTGTTGTGCAGGTTTCTTTTGAGGATGAGGACTGATAGGTCAGATATAGAGTTATCACTTTGTGAAAAGTGTTCACCCACAGGTGATATGGTGTTTTTGTCTTTTATCGTATTCATGTGAGAGCACAGTGATTGTCTGGTTTCACCCACATGGTTGTTATTAGGGCAATTAGGATGAGATACACCTTCGAACAACACCTCAGTCTCTCCAAGCTCATCATCCCACATACCAGGACACACCAACTCAAACCGGCACCAGTCCCTGCCGGAACAACAGCTGCAAAACCTGCAGACATATCTCCACTTCTATTGTGATCAACACTCCCCACAATACCCCTCTCAAGATCCCTGTCACATGCCTATCACAACATGTGGTGTACCTCATCCAGTGCACCACACTCTCTAATAGCCTGGGACCAACAGAGCTACAACAACACTGCACACAAAGCACAAACTGTCATTCCCAATTGTCATGGAACCTTCAATCCTCAGCATTCCACACAACTGCTCCCCAAATCTCATTCCTCTTGTTTGGAGCTCATCTAGTCCATCTATCATCACCATGGCATCTCAAGGACCTCAGCTGCTGTTGAGCCAGTAGGAAGAGGGAATGAATATTAGGAAAGAAGGGATTATGAATAACTCTAGAGGGATTAAGTATCAGAGGGGTAGCCATGTTAGTCTGAATCTGTAAAAAGCAACAGAGGGCCCTGTGGCCACAGGACCCTCTGTTGCTTTCTAGAGGGATTACTTATTCTCCAGACAAGAGTCAAAACAGGCACCATCCTAGAGTAGCACTTAGATATTATGTTGACAGGTGCTATAGCAAAATTTAAGATTGACAGACAGATAATATGAGTAGAGAATTAAACCACTCTCGATAGAGTCTGTAGGACTCTTCCAGAGGGGTGAAGCCACAAGTAAAGTGCTGTGGTACGGTAGCTTTAAATTAAAATTGATTTTGAGGCAATTGGTTCCCATAGCTGTCAACGCCCGACACTTTTGAATAAAATCCTCCTCAATTTTAGCTTTTTAATTGTTTTTAATAAATGTTTACATTGAACCATACATTCACACAGCTTTACAAACAGATTAAGACACATTTCCTGCTCCAAAGAGTTTATAATCTAAGACAAATACACAATACACTGGACAACTATTAAAAAAGAAGAGAGAGGCTGAAGGTGGGGATCATTAGTGATTAAAAGAAGGGAGCAGGAGTTGCTTGAAGAGATGGACAGAGGCATCTGGGAGTTCTGGGTTTAGATCCCGGCTCTGCTCCCTGTGAGACCTTGGACAAGTAACTTGGTCTGTTCATGCCTCAATTCCCGATGTGAAAAATGGGGGTAGCAGCATTTCCCAACCTAATAGAGCTGTTGTGAGGAGAAATTTATTAAGGTTTTGTGGTGTTCAGCATCAGGAGCCCCCAGGGCTAGTTGGTACAGCCTTCAGGCAGGTTAATGAGCCCAGATGGACTGCTGCATAATTGACTGCTTGGCCAGCCCACCCAACTGGCTGAATGGAGCCAACAGGTCAACGTTTAAGCTCAGCAGCAGCAGTAGGTTGCTGGCTGCTCAATGCTTATGTTTGCAATTGCAATCACTCTGTGCTTGCCTTGTTCCTGTATTGCTCCAATCTGCTCCTGTCCTATTCTGGTCCTGCACCAATCCCCTCAGCCCAGCTCCCTTGCCTGGCTTCTGACTCTGGCTCTGACATTGGTTCTGGTTATTGGCTTCTGACTCTGGCTATTAACTCCAGCTCTGGCCCTTGGCTTAATTCCTGGTTTCTGATTCTGGCTTTGGCTTCTGTCCTCTGCCTCGAATCACTAGGCTGGGCTCTGGCTCTAATCAACAGGTCAGACAACCCATATCTCAGGCCTGACACTGAGAAGGGAGGGTGATAGAATTTGAATGAGGATTTAAAAGAAGAGAGAGAATTCCAGATGGACAAAATCAAGAGAGCCTGGTCCAAAGCGGGGGCCAGCATCAGAGAAGGTGCAAAGACCATGGCCCTGATTCTCATTTACACTAAAGCCACATTATGCCACTCTTGAAGTGTAAAGGGGCCTTAAAGTGACAGTAAAGCCCTACCAATCTAGGTATTCAGAGGCTCTTATCACTGTAGTATCTGGTGAAAATAGGAAAAGGAGATGAAGGGAGCAGTAAGGTAACAGCATTGGTCTTTTTCCTCCTTTGGATATTAAGTTAAAATTAGAGGCACTGTTGTTGCAGTTTATTCATACGTGTATTTCCTAGAAAACGAGACCTCCTACTATCTTGTGAAATCAGACCACCCCTGCATAAAAAAAATCTTGAATTCTGAGCTCTCTGAGTTACTGTAAGCCATTCTGTAGGCAAACAGTGAGGAGTGGCAACTTAAATAATGGTGAAGGTATATTAACAGTGCAGTATTATCAAGTGATAACACACCTGCTAACATATGTCATCACCTCATGAACAAGTTGCAAATGAGACAGCCTAGAGCTGGGGCCCTGATGGACTGCACTATCTGGAGATAATTTCTCCTGGCTGAAGGAATCCTCTGTTCTGAGATGGAAGTGAAGAAATCTGGCATTCTGAACCTGATCCAAATTCCATTGAAGTCAGTGGAAAGACTGTCATTGACTTAAGGCCAGAAGTGATGATCAAATGGTGGCCACTGCTACTTTATTTAGAGTTACAGTAGATATTTCAAATCCAGCAGTGGGGTCTGGGGGAGAGAATGAAAAGATTGTCACATGGAGGACTATGGCTCAAATGATTCTTTCCATCTCTTATTGTGGTGGAGATCCAATGCAGTCAGGAATAGGCCAGAGGGGTATCAGTGGAGTGGAAGCAATACTCCTTTCCCTCTGAGCTGTCAGAACCACCTGCACACAAATATCATGGTTTGGCGGTTCCAATGGAAGCAGAGAGGGGAGGAGCCCAAGGATAAGGTGCTTTAGTCTAAATAGCCTTTTTGAGGCAGCAGAATTTGAGGAGAGATGTTCTAGGGATTAGGGAACTAGCCTACGACTTGGGAGGCCTATATTCTAGTCTCATCTTTGCCACTGACTCATGGTGTGACCTTGGGTAAGTCCCTTAGCATCTGTGCCTTGGTACCCTATCTGTAAAATGAAGATGATAATGCTTTCAAACCTCACATGGGTGTTGTGAGGTTAAGTACATTGAAGATTGTCCAGCACTCAGATACTATGGGAATAGAGGGCATATAAGTATCTAAGAGTGAGTGCAATGTAAAATCTTGCTACCCTGATCAGTATGAATTCCCTCTCCACAGCTTTACAAGGTTGTGGAGATGATGGCGGCTGGGGGAGGCACTTGGTAGTGCTATTAAGAACCAAGATGTCATTCCCAGGAGGCCCCAAACCCACTGGGGCTGAAAGCTCTGGAAGCTGGTCCTTAAGTTTCTACGTTGGTTGGATGGAAGAACTGGGAGCCAAAGCCCAGATCCTCAAAATATTTAGGCAACTAACTCACAGGATGTAGGGACCTAAATACCTTTGAGAATCAGGGCCCAAGTCCTCTGGTTATTCCATCTTGCTAGCAGTCCTTTCAACAGTAGGGAATGATGCAGTGAAATAAGGTAGGGGCCTAAGGAGCCAGAGGTCTGACTTCTTCCTTACACAAAGGGGAGGATTTAAACCTGTTTGCAGCTAACCCTCTCACTGCAGCAATAAGGAATTAGACTGTGCACTCCCTTCTGCAGGCAAGAACATGCTGATGAACAACAATGCTCTCATCTTAAGACAGCCAGGGCCTGAGGTAAACCTCTTAAAATCATCAGCAAAGTGAACTGCAACCACATGGAAAACACAACAGGTAACGTTACATTTTGTAAGCACAATAAAACTCAGCCAACATGTACAGAATGTATTTCATGTGGAGAAGCATTTTGACTCCAGCATTCTTAATCCTACACCTTGTTTTGTTTCAGATACAGTGTTAGGCAGCTCATTTCATGCCAGTAAATATATTGTCCCATGTGTATATGTACCAATGTCCTGTCCTGGATGGAATAAGAACTGTTCAACAAGTGTCATAGACCCTGTACATCAGTGGTCACCAGCCGGTGGATTGCCATCAACTGGTCGATCCTGGAGACTCTCCCAGTCGATTGCAATCTCTGGCGGTGCAGCAGGGCTGCAGCTAATGCCTGCCCTGGCCCCACCCCACTGACGGAAGCGGACAGCACGCCCCTGCAGCCCTGGGGGAGGGAGGAAGGCAGGGGTCTCCATGCTCTGCTTGTGCCTGCAAGCACCGCCCCAGCAGCTCCCATTAGCCAGGAACAGGGAACTGTGGCCAATGGGAGCTACGAGGGTGGTGGCTGCAGAGAGGGGAAGCGCGCGGAGCCACGTGCCCCCCCCCCAGGGGCCACAGGGGCACGTTGGCCCCTTCCAGGAGCAGTGTGGGGCCAGGGCAGGCAGGGACCCTGCCTTAGCTCTGCTGCACCACCGACCAGGAGCCACCTGAGGTAAGTGCTGCCCGGCGGGACCCTGTACTCCAACCCCCTGTCCCCTCCTGGAGCCAGCACCCCATACCCCCTCCTGCACCCCAAGCCCCTGCCCCAGCCCTGAGCCCCCTCCCAGAGTCAGCACCCCATACCTCCTCCTGCACCCACACTCCCTCCCAGAGCTTGCACTCCGCACCCCCTCCTGCACCCCAGCCCCTTTCCCCAGGCTCACCCCGGAGCCCCCTCCCACACTGTGAATCCCTCGGCACCATCCCAGAGCCTGCACCCCCTCCCCAAACCCTTGCCCCAGCCTGGTGAAAGTGAGTGAGGGTGGGGGAGAGCAAGCAATGGAGAGAGGGGGGAAATGGAGTGAGCAGGGCGGGGCTTCAGGGAAGGGCGGAGGAGATCCTGGATTGTCCTTAAATTCAAAAAGTGATCTTGGGCATAAAACGGTTGGAGACCACTGCTGTACATCTATCAGAGTTTCTCGCTTTAACTCAAGTTGTAGGGACTGTGTTCTATCCCTTCAGTTGCTATAAGGTTCTAAGTAGAACTGGCTGAAACTCAGGATTTACATTTCACAAGAAATTTTGATATTTTGAAATTTCTCATGAATTGGAAATCTCTAAGGATATTTGTTTCAGAAACACCAACACATGGTGCTTCCAAAACAAAATCTGCTCCCCGGGACTGGTGAAGCTGACAAGAATGTTAGTTTCTGTCACTAGATGCCATCCTCTCAGTGTTGCAGCTCCAGGACAGCCCCACTATGCTGACCGGCCCAGGAGTCAGGAAGCCCTGGGTTCTCCAACCTAGCACAGTCCATCTAGGGGGGCTGCCCAGGAGCCATGGACCCTGAAAACCCATCCCTGCACTGCCAGGCGCCTGGCACTGAGGGTCCCAGCTCAGTGGCTGGGAGCCTGCTCGATTCAGAAGCCATGTGGTGGGGTTGCCCAGGAACTGTGGACCCAGTAAACCCTGGGATCCTTGGCCCTGGGGCAGTTCGCATGTTGCGGCTGTCCCAGAGTCAGAGACCCTGGAAGCTGTAGGTCCCACACCCAGGGCAGTCCACAGAGAAAATTTCTAATCAGTTTGAGTTCTAAGTGGCTTTTATATGCTGCACACATCCATGAAGTACTATGTGGCTACAGATTAGTTACAGAACTATGGGAAGACTAAAATAGGTCATTTATGTCACAGCTCTAGGGTTCCTTTCCTCTTAGTTCACATGCATCAAGAGCAATACTACATGCCTTTTATTTAAGAATCTAACGTTAAGCACCCAGCATTGAAAATTTGGGCATATGTCCTGACTTTCAGCAGTGCCAAGCACCTGCAGCTCCCATTGACTTCAGCTGCAACCGTGGATCTTCATTTCTTTTCAAAAGCTGAGTAGGGCACCTCAGATTGAACCCGCAGAAAATGAGGAACACAAAATCAATGGCTGCATTTGAAAAATTTGCCCAAAGGGGTGTGAAATGCATAATATAAACAGACTGAAAAAACGGGGAAATTTTTTTCTGCAGTCTTGTGCAGTTATACTGATTGTGAGGATTGTTGTGATCATTTTAAAGTTGACGGTGTCCCTTTGATTTCTAGATGATGAAAACAGACTAAAATAAAACAGGCAGTTGGGTTTGCTCTAGCAGGACTCAAGTTTCATGCAAGGCATATCTTCACAGCTTGTATAAACAACATAATGATAGAGTGAGGTAATCCCAAAATATCACCTGAAAAATAAAACATGCAGTACAATTAAACTCATCAAGAACTAGGGAGTTTCCTCAAGAACAGATCCTTCAGTGTTATGCAAAGGTTGGGCCAAATTCACCACTAGCATTTATCTGAGTAGAAAAAATATGCCAGTTTGTCTGTCTGTCTAGCTTAGTTTATTCTTTGGTTCGCATCACCCTTGTATCTTAGTAGGACCTGGGGCAGAATCTGGACAGGTGGAGAAGCAGAACCAATTCAAATAAATCTAGTCCCTGCTAACTAGTTCAGTTGGGTCCCCATCTACAAAGCCCAAGATCCTGTGCATGACTGGTTCTCCTTCAACCTGCTTCAGCTCTGATGGGGAAAGCTTTAGATTCATGACGTAGGGTTCTGTGGGGAATATATCCAGAACTATGGTATGAATTTTTCTCAAGGTATCTCCACAGAGCTCTGTCAGCATGAAGCAGCTTGTACTCCACGCCTGGCGTGTGAATGATAAATATGCTGTTGTTGATTTCATGCATCCTGGCTGGTTCATTGAGGACCCCTGATAGCAGCAGATTTTGATGAGGTTGATGATCAATGGGGAAGGGAGAGGGGAGTAAGTAACTGGGCCTGCAACAGATGTGGGCAGTGCTAGTACCAAAAGGAGAATGTCCCAGAAAGCCATCATCACTGCTGATACAGGGCTCACCGAGGAGACTGTTGGCAGAAGCTCTAGAATGGAGCCCTGGTTTAATTTCAAGTTGCCTACACCCTCTACCTGGTGCACCCTCTACCTGATGCAGGACAGAGATGGAAACCTTAACTAGGGTGAATCCATCCAGAATGCTGTGGTAGCACAGGGTATGCTATGAGTCAGAACTTGGCCCATTCGGCCTTTCCCAAGACTCTTTAATGTTATCTGATGTGTTTGCTGTCTAGTTAAGTGAGATTCCCTCATTGATGTAATATTGTGACAGGTTACCCCCCACTCCAGGGTGCCACCTGATGTACTGGGATACCACTGAGCCCACCTATTCCACCAGCCTGGGCTCTCTTACCCTGTCCTGCTGAGCCAGGCCCTCAAGCCTCCTCCAGCACACACACAGGTAGGGACACACCCAGACACAGACACTGAAATCAGTTCTGTATGGGAAGACTCAGCTGGGGAATTGCCCAGCATTCAAATGCACTCCCCCTCTGGAGAGTAAACCCAAAATTGTATTGTCTTGCATTGCACAGAGAACTGTACAGCGTAAGCTCATTGAAATTTGCCCTCTCCCTCAACGTGGACAGAGATATGCACAGCTTTTTGCCTCCCTCCCCCGCCCCAGTCATGAATTCCACAAACTGTGATTAGAGAAAACAAAACAAGTTTATTAACTACACAAGATAGATTTTAAGTGATTAGAAGGGATAGCAAACAGATCAAAGCAGATTACCTTAGTAAATAAACAAAAACCGCAAACTGAGCTTAACACACTAGACAGGTAGATAGCAAATTCTCACCCTGAGTGATAAACAGGCTGGCAGATTCTTAAGGCACAAGTTGCCTTGGCTTTCCCAGGTTTTCATACACCGGGCTAAAGATCCTTCTAACCTGGGACCATCACATCCCACAGTTCAGTCCTTGCCCCTCAGGTTTTCCAGGTGTATTGTTGCAGGGAGAGTGAGGTCCCCCCATGATGTCATTGTCCCCCTTTTATATCTTCTTCCCACTTGCTGGAAAGCTCTTTTGCTGTGGCCTGGGTCAAACAGTTCCCACTGTGTAGTGCTATCTCTGAGAGGTTTCTATTGTATACAGTTCCTGGGGTAATCCTGGTGCTTGTGTGCATTTCCTCACTAAGCCATTAACATTGTTTGGCCTTTTTACTGTTGTACCTGAAAGGCGGCTTGTGGGTGTTTTCAGCCTCACAACAGGTGTCAGTAACACGTACATAGCCAAACTTCATAACTTCACATACGACGATAACACATACAATCCAATGAGATACTAATGTCTAGCAGATCAAGACTTTTAGAATGATACCTCACAAGACATACTTTGTACAAAACATATCCTAATTACATGACAGTGGTGAATATTGGGCTGTCAGGATGTCACAAATATATCCTAAGACAACGTAGTCAGAGTAACAGGGACACCTCCCCTTACAGAAGCAGCCAAGAGGCTGGGGAAGAAGTAAAGAAGTAGAAACCCTCCCTGCTCTAGCACAGCCAGACATGGTTGGTGTTTATTTATTTAGACATTTATTAGACATCTACTGGTTGGAGGCTGACATGAAAAATGGAACCCCCTGAGCAGGGTTTAGGGACAGCCCCTGACGGGATTTCCAACTTCCTTCTCAGTTCTCAGAATGGGGCAGAGACTGTGTTTCTCACCAGTGCATTGCCCTTGGACAATTCTTTCCAGAGTGAGACCAGCCTCTAGCTAGTAGCTGTCTAGAAAGTTTTCCAAGCTCTGAGAGTGTCCACTGTGCAGATCATGGAGGAGATTTTTGTCTGAAGCAACTTATTTAGCTAACCTGGGGTCCTTCCCCTTCAGCTGCAGTATATCATGTCTCAAACCAGGAAGGGAACAGCTGCTTTTTGTATAACTGCTGTGACTTCACCTGCAATGGTACCTGCACATCTAGCTACCTTATTCCCAGAAAGACATAGACAAAACTGGAGGGAATTCAGGAAAAAAACAACAAAAATGATTAAGAGGCTGGTAGGAGCTGATGTATGGAGAGCTAATCTCGCATAGTTTGGCTGAGGGGGAACATGATAACTGCCTACAAGTATTTGCAGTGTATAACAC